AGCCTTTTCATCTAATTCCACAATTTTTTTAAGCTCATTTTATTTCTTCCCGCTTCTTTCTGGTAGTTCAAGCTTTTTTCTGCCTGTTCAGCTACTTTTCAGCTTTTTTTTTTGTTCTAATTTCAGCTTTTTAAACTAATTTCCTAATTTATGTGCTCATTTCTGTTTATTTAAACCTAATTCAGAAAATATGTGTTCTTTCTGCTTTCTTCTGCAAAGTTAGGCTTGTTCTTCCATTTCAGCTACATTTCTGCATTTTTTTAAGCTAATTTCAGCTGTTTTTCAGCAAATGCTTCAGTAATCACACTGCATTTTTGCAGGAAATGCCATTTCTCTAGTTTGTTATTTCTGTTATTTGAAAAGTTGTTTTTAACTCCCTCCTGATGTTTTGTGTTTCTTTAGTGAACGAGCATCTTCTTCAGGACATTTTTACATCTCCTCACTTCTGTTTCTTTTTTTTTTTAACATAATAATTTGGGTATTTTATCCCTTTTTGTAAATTTGCACTGATTGTTGTTTTGTGTCTCCTTGCAGGAGGATATTTGGAACTTTTAGTCATTTAAAGTTTTCATTTTTTTGCACATTTATATCATTTTTTGGTGGTCACTATATTTATTCTACACGTCTTAGTAGCTCTTTTGCTTCTTCACTAGTTCCACCTTTTATTAATGTTTTGATCTTTTAGTTGTAATTAAGCCTCTCCCTTTTCATTTCCATGGGTTTTTAATCCTAATAACAGTCAGTGTATGATTTGCTCGGGTCATTTTGCTCCTTTTTAAAGTAATTTCGTGTCTCGTTGACGTTTTGCCTCAGAACAGGTTGTGGAGGAAGAACCGTTCTCTCAACAGGAGCGCTAACTGCATCGGAGTCGACTTGAACAGAAACTTTGACTCAAACTGGTGCAGTAAGTTGTTTTATTTCAAAGTAAAGCCTCAGGAGCAAAAGTTTATTAATTCCACTGAAAATCAGACAAACATAGCAGATGAGCGACGGTGTCATTTATGAGGAGAGGTGTTTGTGTTGGGCCCAGCAACGGGAGCCTCTGATGACCCCTGCTCTGAGATCTACTGCGGGTCATTCCCTGAGTCCGAACCCGAGTCCAAGGCTGTGGCTGACTTCCTGCGCCGCCACAAAGACTCGATTCATCTCTACATCAGCATCCACTCGTACTCCCAGATGCTGCTCTTTCCGTATTCCTACACCACGGAGGAAGCAGAAAATCACAGCGATCTGGTGATTTGTTCAGACATCGTCACTTATTTTACTTTTATCTGTCGCCTTCATTATTATTATTGATTTATTTTTCATTTTAGCTTGAGATGGCCAAAGAAGCTGCTGATAACATCGGAAAATATTACAGAAACCATTATTCATATGGTCCAGGAGCGCAGACAATATGTAAGAAATGTTTGTTTTTATCAAACTGAACAAGTTGACTGGACACGAATGGTCATAACCTGCATGTGGTTTTTGTCTTTTTCTCCCCAGACCTGGCTCCTGGTGGTTCTGACGACTGGGCGTACAACCTCGGCATCAAATACTCCTTCACGTTTGAGCTCCAGGACCGCGGACGCTACGGCTTCCTGCTGCCCCCGTCTGAGATCGACCGGGCCTGCAAAGAAGCTTTAACTGCTGTGAAGACCGTCGCCCTGAAGGTCGTCAAGAAAACACAAGCTGGGACAGATGCTTGGGACGACTGACCTACAGATTAATCATTTTCAGCAACTTAATCCAGATTCATCATTAAAACATGTGGAACCATTTAGAAAGTGTTCAAGTTTGTTCTTCGTGCACATGGATGGTAAATCAAAGTAACTCAATCTTAATTATTTTTCAAATGAAACACAGGGGTCTGCAACATTCATAATAAAAGAGACTTTTTTGCCCCTTCAATCACTAAATAAAAATGTGTCGAGCTGCAAAAACAGCTACAACCGTGATTATCAACTGGTGGCCGGTGGGCCACTTCAAGTTTGTTATAAGTAACCGAATGGATTCATTGGATTTCATAACAGTGTATCATCAGCATAACAATGAAAATTTATCCCATGCTGTTTGATAACTTTACCCAATAGAAGCATATATTAATAAACAAAAGAGTATTTGTCCAAGCACTGAACCCTGAGGAACTCCATGACTAACTTTGGTGTAAGAAGTTTCATTATTTACATTTACAAACTGAAATCTATCTGACAAATAATTAATTTTAAGATTTATTGATCATTTTTTACATTTTAGGACAGAAGACAATAACATTAATGCAAGTTTATATCAAATTTGATAAGAATTAAAACAGAACTTTCCAGGTCTTGTCCTCTTTTTAATTTGTGGAAAAATGATTAAGTACCCCACTTTGAAGTAAAATGTCACATATTTAAAGTGTGCACTGTGATTAAATTTCATAATAGTTTTGGTCAAAACGTCAAAGAGTCGCTGGTTAAACTGAATAAAACTTTGTGGAGATGCATGATGGAGGCTAAAATAGAAAAATAATTTACATGAACACAGTTCGTAAAAGTTGTGTACAAATCACAATTTTAATGTTGACGCTGATATATGATATAATGCATTAAGACGAAAACATGATACAATGTTCTACATGGTTACAAAGCAATGCTAACTATGCTAACTACTACACAATTAGCTCATCTACTGTAGCTAGCTGGCGGTGTTGGTGGACCGGGTTGCCAGATAGAGAAATGACGAATTAACGTAATGCCGCTTTAAAACTCACATTTTCACAAAAACTATCGAATGTGCAGAGTGAGGGTGCACGATCTTCGGGGTTGGTGGTGTTTTTTTGTTTGTTTGTTTTTTTTTGTTTTTTTTGGCAAATGTGCTGTCAGGAGGGGATACGCGCTCAGGAGCGCGGGGAGCGAACATATTTAATGATAGGTGAGCGTTTGCGTGAATTAAATAAAGTTTTTCTTTCGGTGCACAGAAAGGTCAAAACTATCGTATAATTCTACATTTAGAAAAACTCCTTATTGAATATGACAGAACTATAATTTAAATACCAAAATTAAAATGTATATAAAACTTTCTTATATGATACTAAACCTGGCAACGCACGGCGACGCATCGAGTAGACCAAGAAAAAAACCACCGAAGAAGAAGAGGCGGTTTCTACGCCAAAATGAAGGCACTATGGGCAGCTTCTGCCTTTGGATTGAAAGAATAAGGCTTGTTTGTTTTGACAAGCGCTTACTCCGCTAACTAGTCTAAAGTAGATGCAACACCGAAACATTATCTTGGGTGAGAAAGTTTTACTTTTTAAAAGTGTAAATCGCGCTCTGCTGAAGGCCTGAAGCTAACGTTAGCATTAGCACACATTTGTTTGCATGTCCCACTTTCAGACTGCGCGTTTAAAACTCAGGAAAACAAAACTATATTACGCAATATTGACGGTGCTTGCGTATAGTAACTAGTAATATTAGTAAAAAAAAAAAAAAAAGTGCATCTGCTAGCGGAAAGCAGGCTTATGCACATGGATAACGAATTAATAAATTGGCTTTAGGAGTGCAGATACAGGCGCAAACACAAACCCGCAGCCACTCAGAAGTGTTAAAATTAGAATATTAAGCTCGTTTAAAGAGGCGACATGGAGGCCACTGTGATTGTGAACATTTAAAGGATCACATCATGCACAAATAAGAATCATCCAAGAATGACACGAACGTTTTATGACTCATTTTAAGCACCCTGCAACGCAGAAGCCATTACTGTGCAGATTATTGTTTAGTTTGTGTATTATTGCGCAATAATCATTGTTTTGCGTTTCACGTGGTTTCCATTTAAGTTGTCACTTTATCTTTGATAACCTCGTCTTTTATTTGCTTGTGAAATAGTCTAGTTTCCTCTGAAATATTCCTCCATAGATTTAAATTATTTGCATGTAGACGCACACATTTCAAGAGTAACAGTCACATCACGTGTGGTACATGAGGTGGAACAAAATTGTGTACTCAAGGTCCCGCACCCAAAAGTAGCAAAAATATTAAGTATAAAAAGAAACAGAGGATCTAAGATATACGCTAAACAATAATAATATAAGGTGTATTAAACAGCAGCCTGAACATGAGTCTGTTGTGAGCAGATGGGCATGAATACAGTAAAGGAGAGAAATCAGCAGCATGGATAATCAGCAGCGCAAAGTCACATATTGCCAATCAAAGTAGCATTACAGTGATTTTTCTGGTTAGATATTCATGAGTCTAACAGCCGCAGGGTAGAAGCTGTTCCTCATGCTCCTTAACCTCCTTCCTGAGGGGAGCGGAGCAAAAAGTGTGTGCTGGGTGAGTGGGGTCCTTCATGATGCAGGTGGCCCTCTTCCAGCATCCAGAGGAGTAGATGTCTGCTATGGTTGGGAGGCGGGAGGGTGACTCCAACAGACTTCGTTAAGCTTGTTTTTTTTATACTTTCAGTACTGCAGAATGTCCAAGATAAGGCGGAAAGTAACAGTGGAGAATTCAAAGACGGTATCCGACAACACCAGCACCACGACCAGCAGCGCCCCCAATCCCGCCGGCCCGTCTCGCCGGCCCAGCGTGTTCGAGAGACTCGGCCCCAGCACCGGGCCTAATGCTGCCGATGTACGTACCGCTCGGCGTTTGCCGGGTTTACAGCAGACGTTTGTTAAATTTCATGAAGTTTTGCTTCATGCGGTTGGATTAATTCCTTCGTTTCTTTCTCAGAGTCACTGTAGAAATTGGCTGAAGACCGGAAGCTGCAATTACGGCAGTGCTTGTCGCTACACACATGGAAGTCAGCCGCGAGGCAAAGGATTCAGCTTTAACCGGTGAGGAGGCTCTATGGGTGTCTGAGCTGGTCAAGTTCAGGTGTATTTATTGTTTCTTTGCGTATTAAATCATTCCTGCATAAATGTGTCTCAACGGAGCAGGTCAACAGAGAGACCCACAGGAGATCTGCGGGAGAGGATGAAAAATAAACGACAGGATGTTGACCCGGAAAACCAGAAGCGGGATTTGGACGAGCCGACATCCCCAGCAGTGAGAGTGAGTTGTTCACTTCTTAAGTGTACAGGTGCTGGTCATAAAGTTAGAATATCATGAAAAAGTTGATTTGTTTCAGTAATTCCATTCAAAAAGTGAAACTTGTATATTATATTCATTCATTACACACAGACTGATATATTTTAAATGTTTATTTCTTTTAATGCTGATGATTATAACTGACAACTAATGAAAACCCCAAATTCAGTATCTCAGAAAATTTGAACATTACTTAAGACCAATAAATAAATGATTTAAAAAAATGTTGGCCAACTGAAAAGTATGAACATGAAAAGTATGAGCATGTGCAGCATCAATACTGAGTTGTTGCTCCTTTTGCGGCGTGGCATGGAGTCCATCAGTCTGTGTCACTGCTCAGGTGTTCTGAGAGCCCAGGTTGCTCTGATAGTGGCCTTCAGCTCTTCTGAATTGTTGGGTCTGGTGTTTCACATCTTCCTCTTCACAATACCTCACAGATTTTCTATGGGGTTAAGGTCAGGTGAGTTTGCTGACCAATTAAGAACAGGGATATCATGGTCCTTAAACCAGGTACTGGTAGCTTTGGCACTGTGTGCAGGTGCCAAGTTCTGTTGGAAAATGAAATCTGCATCTCCATAAAGTTGGTCAGCAGCAGGAAGCATGAAGTCTCTAAAACTTCCTGGTAGACGGCTGCGTTGACCTTGGACCTCAGGAAACACAGTGGACCAACACCAGCAGATGGCATGGCCCCACAAACCATCACTGACTGTGGAAACTTGACACTGGATCTCAAGCAACATGGATTCTGTGCCTCTTCTCTCTTCCTCCAGACTCTGGGACCATGATTTCCAAAAGAAATGCAAAATGTACTTTCATCAGAGAACATAACTTTGGACCACTCAGCAGCAGTTCCAGGTGAGACGCTTCTGACGCTGTCTCTTGTTCAAGAGTGGCTTGACACGAGGAATGCGATAGCTGAAACCCATGTCTTGCATACGTCTGTGTGTGGTGGTTTTTGAAGCACTGACTCCAGCTGCAGTCCACTCTTTGTGATTCTCCCCCACATTTTGGAATGGGTTTTGTTTCACAATCCTCTCCAGGGTGCAGTTATCCCTGTTGTATGTATACATTTTTTCTACCACATTGTTTCCTTCCCTTCACCTCTTTATTAATGTGCTTGGACACAGAGCTCTATGAACAGCCAGCCTCTTTAGCAATGACCTTTTGTGTCTTGTCCTCCTTGTGCAAGGTGTCAATGGTCGTCTTCTGGACAACTGTCAAGTCAGCAGTCTTCCCCATGATTTTGTAGCTACAGAACTAGACTGAGACCATTTAAAGGCCTTTGCAGGTGTTTTGAGTTCATTATCTGATTAGAGTGTGACACCAGGTGTCTTCAATATTGAACCTTTTCACAATATTCTACTTTCAGAGATACTGAATTTGAGGTTTTCATTAGTTGTCAGTTATAATCATCAACATTAAAATAAATAAACATTTGAAATATATCAGTCTGTGTGTAATGAATGAATATAATATACAAGTTTCACTTTTTGAATGGAATTACTGAAATAAATGAACTTTTTCATGATATTCAAATTTTATGACCAGCACCTGTATGCGTTGGGTTTGATGCACTTTGTTGTTTCCAAGCGTTTATTTGTACATGTGTTGCAGAGAGACTCCTCACGAGGCCGACACAGGGAAAAGGAGGACATAAAGATTATAAAAGAGCGTACGCCGGCGAGTGAAGAAGAGCCAGCAGAGTGGGAGACTAATCGAGAAGGTTCGGTGCCTTGTTCTGCCATGTTAGCGGAAATACGTCCTTTTTTTTTTTAGCTCATTACCAAGTTCAGTAACTAAAACGACTAACTTGTTTTCTGATACGGTAAACTTTCATTAGCGTAAGTTGTAGCGCTTCGTGTCTCTTTTTGTTTTTGACTCTCAGATTCTGACATCGGTGACTACGACTACGAGTTGTCCCTAGAGATGAAGCGCCAGAAAATTCAACGAGAGCTGATGAAACTAGAGCAGGAACACCTGGACAAGAGGGAAGACGCCGTCGTTAAGAAAGATGAGACTTCAACTAAATCCAGAAGCGCAGCGCTGACAAAGGTGAGCGACAAGGTTACACACATCAGAGACACGTTTAGATTTTAGCTGCAATGCTTTTATGACAGATCCATGAAGACCATACCAGCTTTATTGATAGAGCACTTTAAACACCCACAGGACCAAAGCGCTGTACACATAATAAAACAGTCGAGCAATAAAGACCGATTAAAATGATTAATAGTCAACATCTCAGATGGTGTCAAAAACCAGGGAGAAGAGATGGGTTTTAAGAAGGGATTTAAAAACAGACCGGGAAGAGTCTGATGTTCATTGAAGGTCGTTCCACAGTTTAGGAGCTGCCACAGCAAAAGCACGGTCTCTGAGCTTACGCTTTGTCTTCAGGACACTCGGGAGCAGCTGATCACATGACCTGAGGGATCGAGAGGGTGTGTATGGATGTAGCAGCTCGGACAGATAGGGCGGGGCAAGTCCATTTAGAGCTTTAAAAGCAAATAAAATAATTTAAAAATTAATCCTAAAATGTACGGGCAGCCTGTGCAGGGAGACTAAAAAGGGGTGGTCAAACTTTCAGTTAAAAACCGCGCAGCTGCGTTCTGTACCCTCTGAAGCTGAGAGATACACGAGCCACTGATTCCTGTGTAGAGTGTGTTACAGTGATCCAGCCGAGTGGTCACAAAGGTGTGAACTACTGTTTCGAAATGCTGCTGAGAAAGTGGGTTTTACTTTAACCAGCTGCCTCAAATGAGAAAAAAAAAAAGATTTAGCAACTGGTCTGATGTGATTTTCGAGCTTTAGTCCAGTATTGACTTTGACCTTTAGGTTTGTAACAGTTGGCCTGATGTACTGGGCCATGGAACCAACATCTACATTGGGAGTCTCAGCAGTGCTTCCAAAGACCATCACCTCAGTGTTTCCCTCATTGAACTTTAAGAAGTTCACAGCCATCCAGGCTTTGATGTCCTCCAGACATGAAAACAGAGGGGCCAGAGAGTTAGTCCTTTTTCTTTAGCGGGACATAAATCTGTGTATCATCTGCGTAACAATGAAAGGATATCCCATATTGTCTAAAAATAGACCCAAGAGGGAGCAGGTACAGCATGAAGAGGAGGGGGCCTAAGACTAAGCCGTGTGGAACCCCACACAATAGAGGAGCAGAAGAGGACATGTGGTCACCAAGGCATACACAGAAAGTACGCTCTGCTAAGTAGGACCTAAACCAGTCCAGTACTGTACCGCTAACCCCCCCCCACCACCACCACCACCACCACCATTGTTTCAAACAACAAAGTAAGATGTTATGGTCCAGTGTGTCAAAATCAGTCGATAAATCTAAAAGCAAGAGGACAACACAGTCACCAGAGTCGGTGGCTAAAAATATTTTGTTGAAAGGATTCTGTACTGTGTAGAGATTTAAAACCAAACTAAAACCTCTAGGATGTTCTGTTCTTTCAGAATATGCCGATAGCTGGTTCAAGACGAGAGAACCCATCACTAAGTTTCTTCCTGTTCTCATCCTCGTCCCTCAGGCCTTGCCTGAGCTGTTGAGCTCCAAAGGTTTACCCTCATCCAGAAAGTCCGGTAGCCCCCAGAAACACAAAAGTGGAACTAAAGGGTCTGGCTCTGGGAAGAAAGAGAAGAAGGGATCGGTGGCCCTGGCTGTTTCAGAAACCACCAGGTAGGAAGGCTCGTAAGCATTGGTGGAAAGGTAGCAAAGGTTTTATGAGCCTTAAACAGAAGATGGTTTTTAATAAAGGGATTAATTGTAGTAAAAGTGGTCATGTTTTTTCTTTTGACTAAGGGTTGCGCTCATTTTGTTGTTTTAGGTCTTCAAAGGGAAGCCACAGTAAGAAGAAAGGTCCCCGAACACCAAGTCCTCCTCCCCCGGTCCCTCTGAACCTTCCTGTGATCGGGAAGAAGCACAAAGCAAAGCACAAAAACAAGGAGAAGACCGAGGAGAGGCTGAAGGAAGGGAAAGATCGAGGGCGAGACGCTGAGAAACACAAAGAGAAGAAGGAAAAACGCAGGTGAAGCACGGCAGCACCGAGGGGTTTATGTGGTGCGACGTGTTTACAGTTTATCACGTCATTTCATTAAATTTATAAATATACCTGTCGTCATTTTTATGTAGGAAAATTCTAAGGTTAGGCCTGTCACAATAACAAATTTTGCTGGGCATATTTAGCTACTTATACTAGCATATTTAGCTACATCTACTAGCATATTTAGCTACTTATACTAGCATATTTAGCTACTTGTACTAGCATATTTAGCTACATCTACTAGCATATTTAGCTACATCTACTAGCATACTTAGCTACATCTACTAGCATATTTAGTTACCCATACTAGCATATTTAGCTACTCATACTAGCATATTTAGCTACATCTACTATCATACTTAGCTACATCTACTAGCATACTTAGCTACATCTACTAGCATACTTAGCTACATCTACTAGCATTTTTAGCTACTTGTACTAGCATATTTAGCTACTCATACTAGTATATTTAGCTACATCTACTAGTATATTTAGCTACATCTACTAGCATATTTAGCTACATCTACTAGCGTACTTAGCTACATCTACTAGCATATTTAGCTACTCATACTAGCATATTTAGCTACATCTATCATACTTAGTTACATCTACTAGCATACTTAGCTACATCTACTAGCATTTTTAGCTACTCATACTAGCATTTTTTAGCTACTCATACTAGCATATTTAGCTACTCATACTAGCATTTTTAGCTACTCATACTAGCATTTTTAGCTACTCATACTAGCATATTTAGCTACTCATACTAGCATATTTAGTTACATCTACTAGCATATTTAGCTTCATTGACTCGGTTCCTCTGACGGTGAAGCGATGAACAACCTGAACAGCTCTGAGGTGTATCAGTATCTACACAGTAACGACACACAGGTGGTGTTTTGTTAAAAGATGTGGGACACAATCTTATTGACCTTAAAGCCGACAGAGTCCAGTCAAAGCCTTAAAGTCCTCCATCACTGAGTTTGAGTTAATTACAGAGAAAATCATAAAACTGAAGATGAACACGTACCATAAAGCTGTGACCTCCATACACTTGAACTCAGACCTGATGTTCTCGTCACTGTTTTCGATCCTTCTGAGGGTCCGGCGTCTCTTCTCCGGTGTTTTATTGTAGTCCAGACACAAAGCAGGATGCAGATTTTTCTCCGTCGGCTGTTTGTCAACAAAGTGAAATGAGCACACATACAGCGTTTTGGGTGGTCTCTTCAAGTTCACATTTTTCAGCCACGTTCTTCTTAATTCCTCATCTGTAGGCAGGAGATGGAAACTGTATCGCTTTCACAGGAACACTCTTTTTGTTTTGGGTCCATGTCCAAAACTCTGTTGTTGTAGCCACTGATTTAGTTTGGTCTGGTTGTTCTGCAGCCCTGAACGTGAACACAACAGGTACCTGAACGCAGCACGGCTATTTTAGTAAACTTTACGGTTGTTAAATAAATGCGAACAAAACAAAAACAGAGTTTTATCTGCTAAACTGAATGTAAATTGCTTTCAAATAAACCGCGGTCCATTCTGCACTACCATGGTTAACCAATGCTTACTGCTACTTCCTGTCTGACAGGAAGTAGTACCCAGAATCATTTATACAGTAGAGCCCCCAGGATTAAGGTGGACACGGTTGTTTTGTTAAAGCTTAAGATAAATTCTGATCCGGCTCTCCTCGGTTGTTTTCACTTTCAAATCTTTTGGCGTGTTTGTGTTTTAGGGAGCGATCGGACAGTTCCCTTAAGGCCAAGCGAGTTGTGACGTCAGAGGAGCGTTCTGGCAGCGTGTCGTCTCCTTCCAGAGGTGCTTCACCTCCAGTGAGAAAGAAGTCCACCTCTCCCAAAGTCGTCTCCCATAAAACCTCACTCGCCTCCCCGCCTCACAGGTTTGTTAAAGAACCGGTTTACGATGAAGAAAATATATGGTTTTCTGAATGAACGCTGTTTTTGTTACTGCAGGTCTCCTTCCCCTCCGCACCACCACCACCACCGCAGCCCCACTCCTCCTCGCCACCGCTCCTCGTCCTCCCACTCGGGTTCCTCCGCCCACCATCACTCTCCCTCCCCTCGTCGGCGCCGCTCTTCTTCTCCCGCCTACCACCGGAGTGCGGCGGCGCAGGCCTCCTCGCCTCCGCGCTCCCGCCGCTCTCGGTCACCTCCGACCTCTCACGACGCCGCCTCACCCCATCGGAGGTCCAACAGATCGAGCCCCAGCCAACGCCGCTCCAGGGGCCGGGAGAGGAGTCGCGGGGACAAAGACCGGAGCCCGCCCACCCAGGAGCGCCGGCACGAGCACAAAGATGGTATCTTTGCTTTACCTCGATCTGAGTAATAGTACACAACTTTCAAAATACTTTAGATAACTTGAACTTTGAGTATTTCTTCCTCTGAACGTCGGGACTCTTACGTCCTCACGTCATGGCTTATTAAGACTTCTCTCCCTTCTGCAAACAGAAAGCCGGAGCAAACGTGAGAAGGACGGCGTCCGCGACGACCGAGACTACGACCCTGAGGTGCTGTCGTTGCGAGACGACAGGGAGACTCGGGATCGGCGGGACCCTCGTGAACGAGGAAGAGACGCGGCCAGAGATGCTCGAGACAACCGGGACGCGAAGGACTCAAGAGAGAGCCGGGCAGAGACCCGCTCCAGTCGAGAGTCGCTGGAGCGACGCGAACGGGAGAAGGAGAGGGGGAGGGAAAAGGAGAGGGAGCGGGGTGACGCCTACAGGAAGGAGGATCCCGCTCAAGACGAAAGGATGTACGGAAGAGCCCACGGACGGGACGACGGGGGGAGAGCTGAGGTGAGGATGGACAGCAGGGCGGACAGAGCTGAGAGGAACGAACGGGGACGAGGGCGTGCCAACGAGCCATCCGACAAAGGCAAGTGCTCTTAACAAAAACAGGAAACAAGGCGCCGTCGATGTGGCTAAGCTAACCGATGCGTCCGTTTGCCTCAGGCTCAAACAGAAACTCTCGAAGTTCCCAGATGGACGGCAACTACGAGAACTGGGAGTCACGGAGCGGTGGAGTTCGGGAAAGAAGCGTAGAGAGGACCGCAGAACGGAGCTCAGACCGAGATCGCTACGAGAACGACCGGAAAGAACACGCAAGAGACTCCTCGTACGACAGGAGGGGGGGACATGGAGAGCGGGACCGCAGAGACAACCGAGACAGAGGTGAGGGTTTGAAATATGGCCGTACCTGAGACGCCTAAAGTCACAAGTGTTTGTTAGACATGAGTGAGTAGATGCAGAAAAATCTTCAGTAAATGTCTTACCTGTTGTGGATTGCTCTTTGAATGACTTCTGCTGAAAGAAAAAGATAAATTGGGGCAAGATAGAGTAGAACGAGCAGGGCCATAACCAATTTTTTAATTTACTTTTGCAAATAATTGTTTTATGAAAATAATAGCGGTTACACAAAAATCACTGCTTTGATCTCCAGGTTCTGTTTGTTTTAGTTACAATAAGGAAAACCAAACACAGATCTTTCAGAACAAATAGGAAGAACCATCAATAAACTTAAAAAATATATACTTTAAAAACCCACAATTATAATGAATAAGAAAGTATCACAACTTGAAACTACTGATGGAACTCAAAATGAAAATGAGTTTTCAGGAGGGACTTAAAAGACGGTAGAGACTCTGCGGAACAAATGTCAGTGGGCTGTTCGGTCCAGAGTCTGTGACCCCGGTCCCCCACTGCGCTTTAAATTAGCCCTCGACTGCACGAATAGCATCCAGCTGGAGGATCTGTCTTTTAAGAGTTAGAAATCTCAGAGTTTTCTTAAATAATTATGTGTCAAACCATTTAAATATTTAAAAGTGAACAATTTACTGTAATTTCCGGTCTAGAAGCTGCTACTTTTTTCACACGCCTTGAACCCCTTGCCTTATACAATGCTGCGGCACTTCAGAGAACAAAAAAAAACATTTACTGTACGTATTTGTGTTTGTTACGGTACATATTGTAGCATTCTGCTGTGGTTGACTGCCGGCACATGGCCTCGGGGAGGGATTATGGGTAAAAATTTATGTTCATTGTTAATCATTTCAGTTATCTGTTTAGCGTTGTTCTTTTAGTGATTAGTCTGTTCTTGTTAGCCTCAGTTCAGTGTTCTGTTCAAGATTTGTCAAATTCATCAAAACAGAAGTTTAAAGCAGCTGATATTAACTATTTAATGTCTGTGTGTGTTTTTTTTTCTCAGATCAAAGAGCAGCGTCTCCAAACAGATACCAGAGGAGGTCAGAGGAATCTGAGAGGGAGGAGAGACGGGAGGAGCGAAGGACAGACCGAGGAGAGGACAGACGGGATGACCGGGCTCGAGAAAGGGAGCGAGAGAGGGAAAGGGAGCGGGAAAGGGAGAAGGAAAAGGAGCGGGAGAAGGAAAAGGAGCGGGAGAAGGAGCGGGAGAGGGAGAAGGAGAAGGAGAGGGAGGCGGAAAGGGAGAGAGCCAGGGAACGGGAGAGGGAGCGTGAGCGAGAAAGGGAGAGGGAGCGAGAACGGGAGGAGAGGGAGCGAGAACGGGAGAGGGAGGAGAGAGAGAGGGAGAGGGAAAGGAAGGAGAGGGAGCGGGAGCGAGAGCAGAGAGAGAGGGAGAGGCAGCGGGAATGGGAGGAGCGGGAGAGGGAGAGGGGGAGGGAGGAGAGGCGGGAGAGGAGAGAAGAGGCCAGGGACGAGCGTCCTGTTCGGGACACCCGGGACGAACGAAAGATGAGGCATGTAGCTGCTTTCATGCAAGAAATTACATTTTCCATAAATTGTTTTTCTGTAACTCCTCTTTTCTTTTTAGTCGGAAGAGGCTGAGGGTGGAGAGCAGCCCGAGCCCCCGCCCCTCGCCCAAGCGAGTAGCGCGGGACTTCAGCCCGGCGGACAGCGACGGCTACAACAGCGCCGAAGACAAAAGTGAGCGCCCGACTGGCCGAGGGCCGGCCAAGCTCCACCCACAGCCCCTCCTCCCCATCCCGGTGTGTCCGCCTCCATCCGACAGTAGGAAACGTCTTTATTTTAAAAAAAAGTTTAATGGGGAATTCACTTCTTTAACTGTTTCTCCAAATGATCAAAGGTAGATGTTTACCGTAATCTCCGCTCTATAGAGTGCACCCAAATATAAGCCACGCCCACTTAATTTAAAAAAGAGGAAGCATACAATGTGCTCTTTGGAGGGTGGATCCCCCTCCTCCACTCTGTCCGTGTGTTAAACAGTAACATAAAGTCACGAGGACCCACCCCCCAAGAGAGACTTGTACTGGCGAGCTATGTGACGAGGCTAAATGTTTGGCTGCCTGAAGCTTGTTAGCCCGTCAAAAAAAATCCATAAATTGGCCGCAGCATGGTATAAGCCACGGGGTTCAAAGCGTTTGACAAAAGTAGCAGCTTATAGTCCGGAAATTACGGTAAATTTGTGCAATTTATGCAAATATCTGACGGGAAGAATGTGGAAACAAATTTGACCGTTCTTAAGATGTTCTCTCGGTCGTCTTGTGTGCAGATGGGGACAAGCATCGTCTGCTCAGCCAGGTGGTGAGGCCTCAGGACTCCTTGGCGAGGTCGCCGCCGAGAAGTGCCGCGCTTGTCGTGCCTGCCGACAAAGCCGCTCACTGGAAAGACGAAGAGCGCAGGGGAGCGGTGGACAAACGGGAGGCGCGCGGTCGCCATGAGGACCCAGAGGCTCGTGTAGATCGAGGCAGAGGGGGCGACAGACGGGGAGAATACCTACCTGATCCACCCTCCGACGCTCGCAGCAGAGTCAGAGACCAAAGAGATTTAACTCCTCCCCCTCCCCCTCCTCCTCCTGTCGCTCTCGCCGCTGATGGCGTAGACAGAGACGCCGCTGTTGCTCCGTCCCACGAAGAAGGCAAAAAGAAGATGAAGTCTCAGAAGAAGGGCTTGAAGAAGGGTCGCAAAGTTGAGGACGCTGTCGGCGTCGCCGGTCTGGCTGCCGCGGCGGATCGTTTCAATCTCGAGCCACCTGCTGCGCTCGCGGAAGCGCCCCCGCCTTCACTCTCTCCAAGAAAAGGAGCCAAGAAGAAGGCACATGAGCGCAAAAGGAAACGCTCGCGAGGAGGCGAGTCCGACGCTTCGGAAGAGGAGGCTTCGGCCCATCAGCCTCACAGCAAGAGGAAGAGGGGTCCTCGGACACCGCCCTCCTCCATGAGGCCAGATCACCACAGAACCGGAGGGAACGCAGAGCCAACCTCGTTTTCACACAGGAATAATTTCAGCGATTGGACCGATGATGAGGAGGATACAACAGACCGAGGAGGCCAGTTGGACGCGCAGGCTCCCCTGGCTCCAGCTGAGAGGACTCCGGTGGAGCCGCTGAGGAGGGGCGGCGGCCACAGGATGGGCAGGGAAAGGGAGCGGTGTAATCCACCACCCATAGCCCCGCTGCTTTCCCAGGAACCTCCGATGCTGCTTCAAACTATGACCCCGCAGCCTCTCATGTCGCAGCCCCTGCTGCGCAAACCCCCCCTGGAGCAGACGCGCAGCAGCAGCATGGGGAGCAACCAGAGCCGGACGTCGTCCCGACGCCTGCGGTCGCCCTCCAACGAGTCGGCCCACCCGGAGGATCCGCAGGGTTCGCGGTCGCACCGGGGCAGGCTGCAGGGCTCCAGCTCCCGTGACCGGGAGAGAGAGCGAGAGAGGCCGGTGGTGGTGAACGAGCCGCCGGTGGCCGAGAGGAAGTCACGGATCGATCAGCTGAGGCGAGGGGAGCCCAGCCGCAGCACCTCATCAGGTACGCAAACAAATCTCTGATCATACCATACCACTTATAAAGCACTTAAAATAGCAACAAGGCCAACCAAAGTTCTGTACAGCAAAAACAACAAGCAAAGAACACAAGATAAAAACATAGATCCACAGAGATGAACATAATAACTAAATGATTAACATTTTAGAATACAGACAAGTTAAATCAGCTCGGTGTCAAAAGCCAGGGAGTAAAAGTGAGTTTTCAAACAAGACTTAAAAACAGTAACTCATTCCAAAGTTTTGGACCTGCAGCAGAGAAAGTCCTGTCACCTCTGAGATTAAAACAAGTTCCTGGAACCATTAAAAGCATCTAATCTGCTGACCTCAGAGAGCGCTGTGGGAGATATGGCTGCAGCAGATCAGAGAGATAGGAGGGAGCAGAACTGTTCAGAGATATTAAAAAATACAGAAGGTTTTTAAAATGAATTAGAAAGTGAACCAGGAGCCAGTGCAGGGAGGCCAGAACTGGAGTAATGTTCTCTTTTACTTGTACCAGTTAAAAATCAGGCTGCAGCATTTTGAACCAGTTGTAAACGTGCAATAGAGGTCTGACTGACTCCATAAAGAAGAACATTTCTGTAGTCAAGCCTGGATGTTATGAATGCATGTATTACTGTCTCAAGGATACTTTTGGACCGTATGGGCTTCAATTTAGAGAGTTGCCTCAACTGAATAAAACAAGATTTAACAATCGTGTTTACATGACTGTTCAGTTTCATGGAAAGGTCCATTTTCATTCCCAGGTTAGTCACAACTTGTTTCTCTAATGGGGCTAGAGAGCAAAGGTCGATACAGCGGTTCCTGATTGTGCCGTTAGGAGGAAACAACATGACTTCTGTCTTCTTCTCATTAAAATGTAAGAAATTTAAAGCCATCCAGTCCCTGATGTCAGCCAGGCAGAGGTTGGATAGAACATGCACCAGTGTGCTGCAGAGGGAAGTAAATTTGACAGTCATCGGCTTAAAAATGAAAAGGTATTTATTTATTTATATAGCGCCAAATCACAACAAAGTTGTCTCAGGGCACTTTACAGGAACAGTCGCATAAAAGGTATGCTTTGTTTATGAAAAATAGCACCTAGTGGCAGCAGGTGTAAAGAAAAGAGAAGAGGGCCGAGAATGGACCCCTGCGGTACCCCTCACCATCAAGGATTAAATCATAAATGGTGGGTTTAAAAAAAAAAACTGTATTTTTGTTTCACAGATCGTCAGGATTCCCGCAGCCACAGCTCCAGACGCAGCTCCCCTGATTCCGAGAGGCAAGCCAGGTCTAGGTCTCGTGCCGGTTCCTACGACAGCCGCGAACGAGAGAGAGACAGGGAGCCGTTTGACCGAGAGCGAAAGGACCACAGGCCCCCGCCTCAATCACAGCCGCCTCTGCATCTCCAACAGCCCATCCAGCAGCAGAGGGAATGGGAACCAGAACCTCGGGACTGGCCGAGCAGGGGAAGGGAGCCCCTGCTCGTGCGTCCAGTTCGAGAACCTCTGCTGAGAGAGCGCGACATGAGGGACCGCGAGCGCCTCATCCCCGAAGGACTCATCCAGCAGCACGAACGGGAGCGAGACAGGGAGCGGGACCGAGGGGAAAGAGGGGAGCGGGAGAGGATGATGATGGATCTACCGCCGCACCCTGACCCAAGAGCTCCAGGACGAATGGATGTGAGAGGAGACGTGAGGGGAGAGATGACGAGGCAGGACCGGAGCGACTTCGAGCCTCCGCTGCCAAAAGAAGTCTTAGGTCCTGCCGATCCTGAGAAATCCAGTAACAGCCATCATGGCCTGGGAGAGCAGAGGGAGCTTGACAAGACAGAAAGTGTTGATGGTAAGAAAATAATTTATTAGTCTGCATTTTTTTTCTTCTTCGTGGTTTTAAATAAAACGGGATGTTTTCCAGGAGAAGACGAGGGAAAAGAAGACGAGCAGTCCGTCGCCTCCGTCGGAGAGGAGTACGAGCCGATCAGCGACGACGAGCTGGATGAAATTCTGGCCGACAGTCAGAAAAAAGACGATCAGCAAGAGGAGGAGAAGCTCACAGGTACGACTGATCTGCTTTCTCTGGGGCGGCGTCGGTTCGCTCGTTCAAAAGCCTGCGTTCCCCGACAGGTCCGCTGGACGTGATCGACGTGGACTGGTCCAGTCTCATGCCCAAGCAGAAACAGGAACCTCGGGCGGCGGGCGCAGCCTTGCTCCGTTTCACCCCCGGGGCCGTGCTGCTACGAGCCGGCATCTCCAAGAGGCTCGCGGGCCCTGAACTCATGGAGCAAGTGAAGGAGGTGTGCAAGTCTGAGCTGGACGATCCAAAAGGTGAGCCTCGTAGTTTAAAGCTTAACAAAACAAACAAAGGGTTTCCAAACTATTTATGGATCACCAATAAACGTTTGTAAAGCTAATTGAGCAAAGAACCCAGGAGCTCCATTTTAGATTTTACAGGCTGAAACGTTCTTGACGGTAAAAGAAATGTGGCTTTTTTTTTTGGAGGTTTCTGAGGGAAACATCTATTTACTCTTAAAGGAACGAGGCAGCAGGGTTTACATTCGCATCTAAAGGAACACAACGCTTTTTAAAATGCGCCGTCAAGACTAAAGTGAAGACCTTCAGCCATTAAAATATCTGCGGAGCACGGTTGTGAAGGGGAGATACCGTAATTTCTGGTCTATAAGACACTACTTTTTCCACTGCTTATGCGATGCTGCGGCTAATTATGGATTTTTTTTATTTAATTTTTTATTTTGACGGGCTAACGAGCTTCCTGCTCCCAAAACATTTGTTCTCGTCACACCCGGGTGATCACACAGCTGCCCAATACACGTTCTCTCTAGGGTCGTGGGTCCTTGTGACTAGAGATGCACCGATCCGATACCAACATTGGTATCGGTCTCGATATCGGTGGGGGGACTTCTGAATCGGATATCGTGACAATGTGACCGATCCATGACTGGGCAGATCTATTCACTCTAATTCTACGCTTTGTGCTCTGAGTGATGTCACGCGCCGGTGAACTCACCGCACAGATTGTGTTCAAAATGGAGCGAGCGAAAGGATCAGCCATTTGGAACTATGTCACACTACCTCAGCCAACGCATTCGACCGCTACGTGCAGTACGTGCACAGCGACGGTTCCGGGGGGTGTCACTAAAACTTCCAGTTATAACAATACCAACTTAATCGAGCATCTCCAGAGATTTCACCCTAAAGAGCACGCTGAGTTTGTCGAACGGAATTCAGTGAAGTTTTTCCTATAACGGACCGTATCGGTTCAGATCGTATCGGATCGCATCGGGGTGCATCGTATCGTATCGGATCGCAGTCGGCCGATACTAAACCTCATATATCTGTATCAGAAGTGGAAAAAGTGGTTCGGTGCATCCCTGCTTGTGACTCGATGAGACTACCTGTATAAAGGTAAAAGAAATAAAAAAATCTGACCAATGAAATTACTGAACAGGTCGTAGTTGAACCAATGAAAAGGGGAGGGGAGAACCTTTGAAGGGGGACTTCCCTGCATGTGCAGAGCAACTTTTGCTCCTCAGAATATGGAGACGGAGTAAGGAATATGTCGATGCTGCGTTCAATGACTTCCTGGTAGGCTACTATATTTTTAACCAGCCGTGTTCAGAAAAAACATTTACTGTACTCATTTGTGTATGTTACCGGTACACAGAGCTGGGCGATATATCGATATTTTAAAAATATCTTCTTTTTTGCGATATAAAACAATATAGTTTAATACTTGGAAATCCTCCTGCTGTCTCTCCCATGCGGCCCCCTCCTTCTCTCTCCTTGAACACAAACAGCCGCGCTCCCCTCCTTCCTGCTTCTGCAGGAGGTGGGCGGGCGGGAGAGGAGACGTTTAGCACAAGTAAACACGGAAGATATACGAAGACTGTTCTGTACAAATCTTTTTCACCATTTAAACAGCGGAGTGGAGTCTGGGTGTGTGAGAAACTGCAGGTCCGACAGACCTCACAAGCAGAATGCCTTTATTGTTATTGTAGATGAACATATCCTGAGATATTCACCTGATTAAAACGGATTCTTTCATTTTTCTGGACTGAATATAAACGTGCATTGAATTTAATAAAATGTAACGTGAGACGTTATTTATCTTTGACCCATCAAAATGAATGTGGTCATTTATTTACAGAATCAAAGTTTAACATCAAACATTTACATTAATTTGGCAAAATATGAAAATAACAACATAATTAATCAGCTTTACAACCAGGAAAACCATACGGCCATGATTTTCCGTTGCTTCACCACAGACATTTCTGAAAACATCTGGATTAATTTGCTAGCAGATAGGAGAGTTTAAAGATGGAAAATGAAGTTTAAAGGGAGTAAAAGATGGTATGTGAGGGAGAGTGTTGACCAGAAACGACACTCTCCATTCGAACCCAGCTTTCCTCGGTACGCTCTGTAGTGAACTTGACTCGTTACCTCTCTGAAGATGAATCAGCGGATACGGAGTTCCAGTTAACGCTACCTGTCCAGCGTCTCCATAGGATGGCTGTGACTCGTCCGAAGTAGTGACGATATCCCGTCTGACACAAGTTCACCTCAGCCAGTGGACCTCACATGAGTGGGGTTCGCCCGAGTTCCACTCAGAGGTGGAAGAGGTTATAATCCCAATCTCGGAAGAGCCTTATCATGGCTGGACTTCTGTTCTCCCAAACGACTGGAGCTGCAAACTCTCCAGCCCGACTCCAACGGCAACTGCGACCCAACAGCAACTCACAGAACAGCCACTTCACAGAACTGAGAGAACTAGGAAGTACCGACATTTTAAAGGGCTCTATTTCCGGTTCATTTGGGAGTCCCTGATTGGTCAATGTCGACCAGACAGGGGTGTGTTTTGTGACGTAAAAGGTTACTAGAAGTCAGAAAACAGCAAGAATGTTATGGAACAGATTGAAAATGTTCCCCAGACAGGCGAGAGAAATGTTTGGGCGAGTTTGGAGAAACAGGTGCCAACTTCTCTGTTTACGTCTGAGAGGATTTAAAAACAAGACAGTTGTTCCAACACTTGTCCGCTTCGACTCCGACCTTGGAAAACGTACACTGCTCATTCAAAGACAGAAAATCAGAAAATGCATAATTACTCTGTAACAGGCCTTAACATGAATTCTAACTTTGCATGAGAATTAAAAAATAATCATTGTTACTGTTTTCACAGTTAATAAAAATTGATTAGTTCACTGTAACATCTAAAATGTTTGAACTAAAACACTTTGATTATCAAACATTTGTAAAACAGTAATGATAATAGAAAAGAGAGTGTTCTTTCACTTGAATTTTCAAGAAAGAAAGTCTCAGGATGGGTGAACCTGTATTTCTGGATTCAAATCAATGAAATGACAGTTTCTGTCCCACAAGGTGCCCAAGGTCAAGGTTTCGACATCAGGCCTAGTCCACTACATTATTATACGCAAGTACAATGAGATTGAGAGCCACTCCTTTTTCAGTACAAAACATGCTTTAAAAATATAACGCAATATAGATATAATAGCACTATGAAAGTAAAAAAAAAATACAAGTTACTTCACACTTACGGCTCCTCAGCGTGGAACAAGACGGCTAACGCTTTAGCCGTCTTGTTCCACGCTGAGGAGCCGCGTCTCAGCGATATTATAAGCTACCGATTTATTAATGTCGCCACTTCTCCGTGCCTCTCAAAAGGCACAGCACGGCTAAATGAGTTCTGACCCGTGTTTTTTTCAGGGAAGGCTGAATGGACTGTACTTGTATAACATCTTTCTATCTGATCAAGACACTTGAAGTCTTTACAACAATCTGTGCCTCATTTTCTACTTGATCTCTACAAAGACTAATCAGAGCTTTGTCACATTCATACACTGATGGGACACGCATCGGAGGCAGTGAGGGGTTCAGTGTGTTGCCCAGGGGCACTTCAGCGTGTGGCTGCTGGTGGAATCGAACCCCCAGCTCTCCCATTGGAAGATGCCTGCTCTAGCCTCTCATCCACAGCTGCCCCCAGCTGAAGAGGATTATTATTTAATATATGTTGTAGAGGAACATATATCTGTGATATATTATCCATAAATTAAACGGATTCTTTCATTTTTCTGGACTGAATAATATCGTGCATTGAATTTAAAATGTAACGTGAGACGTTAATTTTCTTTGACCCATCAAATGAATGCGGTCATTTATTAACAGAATCAAAGTTTAACATCAAACATTTACATTAATTTGGCAAAATTGATTACAACAACAACATAATTAATTAGCAAGCTTTGCAATTAGGAAACCATACGGCCATGATTTTCATTTGCTTCACAACAGACATTTCTGAAAATATCTGGAATGATTTGCTGGCAGGATAGAAGAGTTTTAAAGATGGGAAAATGAAGTTTAAATTGAGAGAGAAGATGGATGAGGGGTTGTTATGTGTCGGTATCAGAACGGCACGCTCCGTTAAGATCTCAGCTTCCTCCTCGGTACACTTAGGTGGTGTAAATCGACTCTTTACCTGTAGCAGGTGTCTCCACTGGTACGGAGTTCCATTTAACGCACCCTTTCAGCGTCTCCGTAGGAACAGCTGGGAATCGTCCGAAGTAGTGCCGGTATTCCGTCCGACACAGGTTCACCCCCACTGGTGGACTCACAAGAGGAGTAAGTCCGTCAGAGGCTCCACTCAGATGTGGAAGATTTCATAATTCCCACAAGACTCGGAAGAACTCCGGATCATGTCTGGAACTCCTGTACTCTCCAGCACTTCTTCAGTTCGGTTTTGCTCTCCGAACTGAACTGCTCTCCCACCGCACACGACTCAACTCTTTTGAACTAGGAAGTGCCGACATTTAAAGAGTTCTGTTTCCGGTTCATTTGGGAAGTCCCTGATTGGCCGGAATAGTTAATCAGGGGTGTGTTTTTGTGACGTAAGAGGTCACTAGAAGTCAGAAAAACAGAAAGAATGTTTTGGAACAGATTGAAAATGTTTTAGAGACAGACGAGAGAAATGTTTAGGCGAGTTGGGGGAAAACAGGTGCCAGCTTCTCTATTTACGTCTGAGAGGATTTAAAAACATGACAGTTCGTTCCAACAACTTGTTTTGCGTTTGACTCCGACATTTGACCGACATCACAACTTGCTCATTTCAGACAGAAAATCAGAAAATGCATGAATTACTCCGTAACACATTCTAACTTGATCTCTACTTTGAATGAGGATTAAAAAATCACTAATACTGTTTCACAGTTGATTTAAAATGAGTAGTTCACTTCAACATTTAAAAATGGTTTGAACTAAACACACTTTGATTATCAAGACATTTGTAAAATAGTAATGATAATAGAAAAAGAGAGTGTTCTTTCAATTGACCCGTGCAGGCCATTTAGGAAGTCTCTGGATGAACTTAATCTTGTGTTTCTGGACTCAAATCAATGAAATACAGTTCTTGTCCCAGGAAGGCCCTCAAGGTCAGGATTTGACCTGAGACTTAGTTCACTACAGTGTAAATAGTTTATTTTATAGACATTTATTGCGTACAGTTACAGCTATTTACTATATGTGCCTGTGTGACAAATGGGACAAAGCTTTGACTCAGAAATATGTTTTTGTTATTACTTTGTGGAAAGAACAAAATATCAGAGTCAGAGTTTCTTTATTGTCATTCGCACCTCATGTGGTACATGTGGTGGAGCGAAATTATGTACACAGGGTCCCAGTTACATCCAACAATAAAATGTATAAGAAAAACAGTAATAACATCTAAGATATGAACTAAGAAAAACATCAACTAAATATACACTAAGCACTAATAACATAAAACATTGAACATCAGCACAAACATGAACATGAGTCTGTGAGCAGATGTGCACGCATGAACACATCAACATTGAAACAGATCAGCAGCAACATGAAACAGATCAGCAGCAACATGATATGGTTTTTCACAGTGATTATTCTAGTTAGAGATTCATGAGTCTAACAGCCTCAGGGTAGAAGCTGTTCCTCAGTCTAGTGGTTCTACACTTAATGCTCCTTAACCTCCTTCCTGAGGGGAGTGGGGCAAAAAGTGTGTGTGCTGGGTGGGTGGGGTCCTTCATGATGCAGGTGGCCCTCTTCCTGCATCTGGAGGTGTAGATGTCTGTGATGGTGGGGAGACTGATTCCAACAGATTTCTGTGCAGCCTTCACCACTCTCTGCAAAGCTTTTCTTTCTGCAGCTGTGCAGCCTCCATGCCACACATTGATGCTCGAGCACAGGATGCTCTCCACTGCACACCTGTAGAAGGAGGTGAGGACTGAGCTTCCCAGACCAGCTCGCCTCAGCCGTCTGAGGAAGTAGAGTCTCTGATGAGCTTTCTTGATCAGGCTGGTGGTGTTGTTGCTCCAGCTGAGGTTGTCATTCATGTGTACACCCAAGTACTTGTAGCTGGAGACCACTTCCACCGCAGATCCTCTTATGTTCAGGGGGGTGTAGATGTTTTTGTTCCTTCTGAAGTCCACAATCATCTCCTTTGTCTTCTTCACATTGATGTGAAGGTTATTCTCCTTGCACCAGCTCTCCAGGTGTTCCACCTCCTGTCTGTAGCTGGACTCATCATTGTTTGTGATGCATCCCACCACCGCTGTATCATCTGCAAACTTTACAATGTGACAGCCTGGATGGGTAGCTGCACAATCATATGTGAGCAGAGTAAACAGGAGGGGGCTCAACACACATCCCTGAGGAGAGCCAGTGCTGAGGGTTATGGTGGAGGAGGAGAGGTTGTGGATCCTCACTAACTGTGGTCTGTTTGTTAAAAACTCTAGTACCCAGTTGCAGATGGAGGGGCTTAGTCCTAGTGTGGATCTGTGTGGATATCGAGATGTATATCGCGATTTATCTTAAAATATCGAGATATTCATTTAGGTCCATATCGCCCAGCTCTACTGGTACGTATTTAATTAAAAGTTAAAGAACACTCGTGGCTTATAGACAAGCACGTCCTGTATATATACTTTTTTTTTAATTGTTTTTTAACGTACATTATATTCAGGGACACTCTATAGTCCAGAAATTACGATATTTGTGCTTTTTTGTAGTGACAAGACGCATCTTGCAGTCAATGAGTTGACCATGAATTCCTCTCCTAGAGTCAACTTTTAGACTGTAGGACATCCGATGTTTGGTACAAATTAGGTCGTGCAACAAGACAGCTGCTTACGTACAATAAAATAAAAAATAAAAATCAAGGTGATGCAATGGTTCAGGTAAATGTCCAAACCTTCACCCTGTTTCTGTATTTTGGCTCACCGTATAATCCATAAATGACATGATGTAATGTATGTTGTGTTTACAAGAAGTTGCATTTACCGTAATTTCCAGACTATTAAGCGCACCTGATTATAAGCCACGCCCACTAAATTAAAATTAAAAATAGTTTGTATATATATATATGTAGGCCGAGCTTATCTATAAGCTTCTAGTGTCCACGTTGTAACATGAGGTATTTAAACAGAAAGCTGTTTAAAAACTTTTAATTAAATACGTACCGGTAACATACACAAATATGTCCAGTAATGTTTTTTTCTGAACAGCTGGTTTAAAAAATAAATCAATGTTTCGTTAGCCCGTCATAATAAATCCATGGATTAGCCGCAGCATTGGCGGCTTATAGTCCGGAAATTACGGTAACTAATTTTAGGCTACGTTGTTTTTTCATCTTCGAAGAACCTTGTATTAATTTCTGAGCGTCAAACTCTTTTGTGTCCTGTTCACCAGACGCTGACAAGCTCTTCGAGCACGACCTGGGCGCTCTGAACATGGCCGCCCTCAACAGGCGCGTGGAGAGGGCGGGTTTACTGAGCAACCTCGGGCCCTGCTGCAAAGCCCTGTGCGCTCGCAGGGACTTCGCCATCCGCCGGCAGCTGCTGAAAAACGAAAAGGTAAACGCACGCTCATCGCGTTTAAGTAACACGAACGTGTCGCCGCTTGTTCAATATCTTTTCTTCTGCTAGGGCCTGACTAAGCAGTACCCCACCACACCTCTGGTGGACACCGAGCTGCTGCAAATGAGCATCCGTCTCTTCAGAAAAACCGTGGCCGGCCACAACACGGTCCCAGAACGGTCCAATAAAGCGTCGGCTCCAGCAGCCAAAACAGCCGAAGCTAGTAGTAATAGCAAGCTGAGCACAGCTCAACCAGAGGTTTGCGTCTCCTGAGAGTCAAACTTTTCACGTTGTCACTCTTTACCCGCCGTACTTTCATTTTTTTCTAATGTTTTTTGTTTTCAGTCGTAAGAATCAAAACCATAAGATCTGCATTTCTTCTATATTCTGTATTTGCTCTGTCATCTTGTCTGGAGCCCCAAAAACATGTATGAGATTTAAAAAAAAACGCACCTGAGTGACTTTATGTGTGCATGGTCGTGTTTTAATGTTTTATCGAGCTAACCGACCTCAACAGACTGATCTGGTTTTGTTTGTCGTTCTTGTAATGTTCATTAAAATGGTTGGATCTTCTGTTATGGTTCTTTGCTTTCCACGTGAAGTGATGGGAGGAAAACGCAGTCGTTTTTTTACTACGGGATTTAAAAAAAACCAGTATTTTCTAAAGAAGAGCGAAATATCTGATATTCCACAGAAACATGAAGGGACTTGCAAGGACTTTTGTTGTACGTGAAAACACTGCCGAGCTATTCTGTGCGTGAATATTTGTTTTTATCTATACATATTAATGTGTGGGGTTTAGTGCCGAGTGGTTTGGCAGTGTCTCCCCCGACGAGCGAGGAGTACCAGAACATTTTAACGCCGCCCTGAGAGGACGGACGGCATGCTGCCGAGGATTAAAAAAAAATCTGAACTCGCCTCCAGGATGTTTTAACGCTCGACTCGTGGTTTCACACGCGATTAAACAGCAGTCGGTCTGCCTGGACGCAGCCTGAGCAAAGAAACCTTTGGATTCAGCGCGACGCCCACTGCACCACCCGTCTGCGCCACAATTATGATAAAAAACAAATTAAAAAAACAAAAAGGGGAGGGATTTGTTTCTGACCAAGCTGACCTGAAGGGAACACATTCTGAGTAAATTCATGTGTAAATTGGATTTTGGTGTTTACAAGTGAAAACTTTTTTTTTTTTTTTACTGTAAAATAAATGGTTACGTTGTTAAACTGTAATAAAGTTGTGAGAAATGAGAACCAAAACAAAACAGCCATTATCTTTTACCCGCTCTTTCGGGTCACTGGTGTCCATATCCAGCAAGTCATTATGTGAGAGGTTGGGGGACACCCTGGACAGGTCTCCAGTCTATCGCAGGGACACAAACCATTCACTCACACCTGGGGACACTTTAGTTACCAATCAGCCTAACATGCATGTTTTTGGCGTGTGGGAAGAAACCCAACGCATGCACGGAGAGAACATGCAAACTCCACCCAGAATGGCCCCCGGCCGGGGTTTGAACCAGCGACATCGTTTAGAGGCAGCAGCTCTACCAACTGCGCCACCGTGCCACCTCAAAACATAAAGGTGTAAAAATAAATTTCAGCATTTTATGTTAATTTGATTTGAGGTTAAAATTGTACAACTTGTTGCAAATTCTGACTCGTCCTACAAGGTAAACTCAAGTGTTTGTATATTTTATATATATACACACATATACATGTGTATTTTTAAGAATTCAATAAATTGAGGAACAAGAAAAAAGAACATTCATGAAATCAAAATAATGTACATTAAAAATAAGTTTACAGATTTTTATATATTTTGTAGAAAGGTAGCATTTTCACGATAAAAAGAATTCGATGAATTTAGCGTAATATGAAAATATGGTGTAAAAAGTTATTAAAAAAAAAGGTTGTTCCAGTTTGGGGGAAGTGTTTCCTGGACTGACGAAGTCTTCTGGATAGAAGGTGAAACGTTTCAGCCAAAAAAAAAAAGAAACTGTCCAGATGACCGGACTGAAAATTTTTGGATTGTACACCTGGATTATTGAGCAACGGACGTTTTTTGGTTATAAAAAACGTGTTATTCGTAACACCTTTTTAAACAATTTACAGTAATTAAGAAACATAAAATCGTATAAATCAGCTTTTCATTTCTTTGCCGTTTTAGCTTTGAGCATGAATTTTGTTGTCACAAACCAAAGCACTAGGAACCACCATTTGTTTATGCGCTTGTTGTAGAGGGAAAGTTTTCTTGAACGGACTCGTTTCCTTTACCCACAATCCTCTCCCGTAGGTCCATCCTTCCGACTTCCGCCTCAGCTTCAAGCCGAGGTGAGTGAATTTTTCTGCGAGAAAACCTTCCGCAATCTATCCCCATCCTGTCCTATTGAAGGCACAAACGGCCGTAAACAATCTGGAAACGTGCACAGAAGCGTTCATTAATGATTTTATTGTGTTTTTAAGACGGATGAATCTTTATTTTGTAAAAAAAGTTACGTCCGCTCGACCGTTAGCATTAGCACGGCTAACCTGAGCTACCTTTTTTAATCTCCGGTTGTGTTATTCCATTAGTGAAATGCTGCAGTCAGCTCAAACAGTTGAATTAATTTTTAAATTAGCTATTTTTATATTGTGCTTTGTACGTTAGTTTGCTAATAGTGATTGTTCAAACTAGTTTTATGCTAACCAATGCTTTTCCTGCGTATCGGTATTTACTTCCTGTCTACTGTAGCAAGCTGCAGCTTAATGTTTGAGCTGTGTCTTTGGTTCAACTCACATGTTTTTACGTGATGTCTTTTAAGATGGCCCCAACCAAGAAAGGAGAGAAAAAGAAGGGGCGTTCAGCCATCAACGAGGTGGTGACCAGAGAGTACACCATCAATATCCACAAGCGCATTCATGGAGTGTAAGTACAGCCAGGACTATAATAAACCTTGTTCTTACTCCTGAATGCTCTTCCTGGCACTTTTCAGGAAATGCTAAAGTTGCATGTCAAATTAACAGTGTCAACAAATTGACCAATCAGCCTATAAACTGAACGTTTATCCTCCTAGGACCTGGCATCCACATATGTGGACGTTATAGGAAATAATAATGCAAGAGTTGGGTCTTAAAAGTTTAAGTATGAAAACTAATATTAATGGCTGGCACTGTGTGTTGGTATGTTATGTGCTATAAATAGCTGTGGCTCTTTTTTCTGTGTTTAAAGAAGTAGTTTGTATGATTGAGCTCATCGCTGTAATTGTTTTTAGATGGATCATATTTAGTCGCGTGAATATTTTAATGTGCAGCTTGTGATTCTCTCGTCTTAAGCCGAGCAACTTAATGATTTCTTTGGTGTCAAAAAAAATGGCTAATATTGTTCTGTGTGTTGACAAGGCTTTAACAACATTAAGTGTTGGCATGTTTCCAGGAACAGTGCTCACTTCTGTCCTTTACATTTTTTAGAGGAGGCAACAACGAGCTTTAATCACATTTTTGTGATTGTTCGGCTCCACGAGACTTTTCTACACAAGAGCAGGACCGTACGGTCACTCAGTTTAAACAGAGGTCATGCTGATGATACTGTTATTCAGTTTTAGTCCACGTTTACACTAGGGATGTGCGATACGGCATAAATCACGATATGTATTGTGAAGGGTGGCGATAACGATATATATCACGATATGTTTTTGGTATAAAACTTGAAATAGGAATGAAAAAAGCATAGGGTGTCTTTTTGCCATTTATTTTGAAAACTGCTATACCACAAAATAATCCCAATTAAGAAAATTCCACTACTAGGACCAGAGAGTTTTAGTTAAAAAAACAACTCAAGTGTAGTGCAAAAGATATCAAATGTAGTTTTAGCCATTTGTTTTAAACAAAAGAATATGTTGTTAACTCTTACGTTTCCGGTCTTCTCACTTAAGAAATGAACGGCAACAGAGCAGCATGTTACACTGAAACACTTCACCCTCTAGTGGGCGTCTCCTTCCGCTTTAAGGAGAGCTGACACAAAATGGCGACCAGTTTCCTCTGTGGCTTTGACCAGAGGGTCACAGATCAGCGAGCAGGTTTAACGCAGTTTTTTTTTTTTTTTAAAGCTCAAATGCGCTCTCTAAAGCTGACCAACGAACTTTTGACTAAAACAAAACTTTCGACGGAACGCAGCGTTTTGCGCATGCCTCCGAATACAAGTACGGCAAGCCGGCAATAGTTCGCTTGTAGTTTTGCTTCTTATCTCTTGAAGAAAGGATTTTACCACCGCTTACACACAGTTTTCAACAAAATAAAGTAACGATTAAATCTGACAACGCTTCATTTTACATCAGACACGGCATTACTGCGGTTAGCCGGTAGAAGACAGATCTCTATCATAGGTTATCGTTTCTACCGTGTACCGTAAATATCGTTCATTCCTAGTTTACGCACCTTGTGTATCTACTTTTTACTTTCTAGCTAGTTCTTAGAATCCAAAGTACAGATGTCCTATTAAAGTATATTTAGTAGCAAGTAATAGTTTAGTAGTCAGTGTTTCCTTTAGATAACTTGACATGGCGGGGCGCTCGTCCGTGTTTTTTTTTTTTTGGGGGGGG